GCCACGGTCGAGACCGCGCTCGCTACTCACCAGGAGAAAGGGTGTTGGGAGCCAGGAATCGCCGAGTTTGCAAAAAACCCTGCAAAGATCTGCTGGATTATTCTAAAGAGGGAGGAATCAAAGAGAGGGGGGGAAAAAAAAAGGAAAAGTTGAGCAAACAAATACACAGCGAGAGTTTAGCCAGAACGGGAAGCAAAACACGGAATACTGCTCCCGTATTCCGGAGGCAGCCGCGGAAAGGGTGTTGGGAGCCAGGAATCGCCGAGTTTGCAAAAAACCCTGCAAAGATCTGCTGGATTATTCTAAAGAGGGAGGAATCAAAGAGAGGGGGGGAAAAAAAAAGGAAAAGTTGAGCAAACAAATACACAGCGAGAGTTTAGCCAGAACGGGAAGCAAAACACGGAATACTGCTCCCGTATTCCGGAGGCAGCCGCGTCGTGGCACGACTCACACCCCGGCAAATCCCTCCGCGGCAGGGCGAGCCCCGAGCTGGGGGGACGGCACCAGCGGAACGCGGGATGCGAACTCATCGGAGCGTGGGAGGGCTGGGAGAGGAAATGACCGAGTGTCCCGAGCGCTGACTCGTATCCTGGCGGTGAGGGTTGGCACCGCGCCGGGCAAAACCCACCTTTCCCACCGCGCGGCTCCGATTCGTGCCGAGGGGGGGACAAAGGGTCGAGCGGCTGATGGGAAAACCCGCGGTTTTTGGGGCCGTGGGTCACCTACCATAAGCGCCAGGATCCCACTGCGTCAAGTTTCTCCCCAGAATCCCACATTTTATGACTGATGGGGGAAGGAGACGCTTCCAGAGGGGAATTCCGGCACTCACCCTTCGATGGCGGGAGACCTGTCGGGGCGGGAGCTGCCCCGGGATCTGTACCTCCGCGTCATGGGCAATCGCGGGGGTCGGCTTGGTCCCCAGAGGTCGGCGTGGGCTTGGTGGCCCCTCTCGTTGTCCCTGCTGTCCTGATCCAGGGAGCTGCTACTCAGAAAGGGTCTGAAGTCGGGAAAGAACATCGTGTGGTCCAAATGGTCCCAAAGCTGCGGAGGAGGAGGAGGGAGAAAAGGGGAGACACAAACCACGCACGGCTCCGTCACTGATCCCGGTGACTCCGCTGCCAACACGGAGGCAGGGAAGTCCACCTCGACAGAAGGAACTGAGCAAAGTCATACGGTTGCCATGGCTCCCAGAAAAAAAAAGTCTGGCAAAACCGCTTAATTATAGCCCAACCGAATCAGATGTACCACCCCCGGGAAGGCCAACGCGTCGGCTCCCAGATATTTTTAAAGCCACCCCTGGGCTCCTGGCTACGCTCCCCCCGCTGCGGGCTCTCAGCTGGCAGAGAGATCGGGGGGTGCACGAAAACACCCCCACCCCGAGCCCCCTCGGCCGCTCTCCCCTGCCAAACCCATTTAGTTTTTATTCCTTCCGCGGCTCGGATCGCCCACGGAGGGAAACAACAGCCGAGGAGGGCACTGAAGATTTGTGATGTGGGTTTATGGAAAAATAAAAATAATAATAAAAAATTTGTAGGACACCACAAAACCAGGAGGGTCAGACAAAAACCCCTCCGTGGCCCCACGGGGTCACGCTGCCCGACACGCCGCAAAAAATGGTTTTCAAAGGAGCGGTGCCCCGGATCGCCCACGGAGGGAAACAACAGCCGAGGAGGGCACTGAAGATTTGTGATGTGGGTTTATGGAAAAATAAAAATAATAATAAAAAATTTGTAGGACACCACAAAACCAGGAGGGTCAGACAAAAACCCCTCCGTGGCCCCACGGGGTCACGCTGCCCGACACGCCGCAAAAAATGGTTTTCAAAGGAGCGGTGCCCTCGGATTTCCCGCGGGAATTAGATGTTCCGGAGCGTAACACAAGGGCTGTTCTCTTCTCGTTTGTCCCAGACCCTCGTTATGCGTTAGGACGCGATCGGAGCGGCTTCGTTTCCATTTCACACCAAATTAGCTCAACTCCACAAGCCTCTTCCCTTGCCCGGTTCCATCCGGTGTCGGAAGAATGGGAGAAGTCAAGTTTACAGCCTGTTCTCCGAATGAACACCCCGCGGATGGGAGGGTTTCCCTTGTTCCCCTGCTGGCTGTGACCAGCCCGAGCTCTGCCTGCAGCCACGCCGCGGAGAGAAGACTTTCATTTATTATTAATCCTAAAAACCGTTTAAATTTACGCAGCGCCCGTCAGGCGGAGGCATCCCAAAGCTCTTCGTAAACCAAGACGTGGGATACACGAGACGGTTTTATCTCGCCGGAACGTCGGCGGTTCTGGGCTGCGGCGCTGGGGAGGAGCGATCCGAAGGCAACAGTTTTGTCCAGGAGACAAACGGATCTGAAGAGTTGGGGAGGATGAAGGAAACCAGTTGTACGTGGGGAACGGGGAAGCAAACTGGGAGGGATCCAGATCCGAAACGCAAAGGCGTAGAGGAGATTCAGCTCTTCGGTGACCCCGTTTCCGGCACTGGAACTGACCGTGGCACGCGAAGGAAGGCTCGGTGCCAACGCAGACCCCCCCAGCACCCACCCGGGGGTGACCCTGGGCAACGAGCTGCGACTCAAAGCGTCGGGCAGCGCTCCTGGCAGGACTGGGAAACAGTTAAAGCTCCTCAATAACGCGGCAAACGAATAACCCAACCTCCGAGCGAGGCCCGCGGCAGAGGAGACGCACAGGAATTTTATTTCCGGCTGTTTTACGCAGCTCAGCTGAACTCCTGAAGGGAAACAAGAGCCCTGAGGAAGAGGAGGCTGTGCTGCCTTCCCCAGGCTCTGGAAGAGGAGCTGCCAGCCCAGCTGAATGACAAGAGACAGATTTTGTTGTAAGTCTGGATGGTTTTTTTTTTTAGACAGACACATTTCTGGTGGAACTCGGAGCAGGGAGGAAAAAGCAGTCGAGGCAACACCTTTCCCGGCTGGATGGGCGTCCCCAATACACGTCCCAGCACCTGCCAGTGCCAGGGTGACTTTCTAGTGTCCTTTTCCTGCCCTGCCCAGTGAGCAAACCCCTGGCAGCGCCAGCAGCCTCCTCAAAAGTCACCAAGTTTCTGAAAACTCTCCGGAAGATCAAACTGTCCCTTTTCTCGAGGAGGCAAAGAGTCTCACCTGGAGCTGAGACCGAGAACCTCTTCGTGGCCAGTTCAAAAAAATAAAATAAATTGGAATTGAGATGGTAAAACTCACCTCTGCAAACTGTGTGGATGGGCTGTCGTCTATGCCGCTGCCATCTAGAAAACTGGAGAGAAACAGGCGAGTGAGAGCAGGTCCCCTCCAGAAACCAGTTCCCTTCCTGGGTGTCCTGGTTTTAGGCAGGAGTTTGTGCCACCGAGAGAAAAAAAGGGATGAGCAAACAGAGCCTGCCTGCGCCGACACGGCGGAATAATTCCTGGTGACAGATAGAATTAAAAGGCTTCTTCACGTGCCGTGACCTGACCGTGGAAAAAGTTTGGGCAAGAAACCACCACTGGATAGTTCCTGACTCTCCAGGCTCCGGAGGAGCCGGCGTTCGAGAGGAGGATGTCGTGTGATGCCGAGTCCCCTCCCCGGTGTCACCC